AAACCAATGGCTAGAACGGTTCTATTTCTGAGTCGTTTTTTAAAATGTTGGTGTAAACTATTCATAAATGTATATGAAATACATGAAATCAAAAAGTGTGGTATGGACAGGTCCTCACCACGCCTATAGAACACCACTGTGGGTATAGACTAGACCAGTTCACACAATTTGTCTACAGTTCAAAATATCTGTGTACTATAGTGTGGTGTGGATTGGTCCCTACTAAAAGATGTGGTGTAGCGTAGTGTGGATTGGTCCCTGCTAGAAGATGTGGTGTAGCGTGGTGTGGATTGATGGGTATAGACTACACCCATCAATTTCTCAGCCACACTACAGAACACCCCCTTCTTCCTCCCATTTCCCCTTTCTTCTCCCCACTTCACCGTAAACAAACTACCGTTTGTCACATCATTTAATCCTCACCAGAATCCAACCAAAGATTGTATTTTAATTGCAGTCAGTATTCAAACCCAACCAAACCCRAGGCCATAAACCAAGAAGTGTGTCCTTGATCATCAGTATTCAAACCCAACCCGAGGCCATCGATGCGAGCTTGTATCAACATCAATCCCCATCTCGATTACCACAAACTCTAGACTAATAGGCAGCAAGAGTAACACCGGTCGATGGAAAAGACCACTTTTCTTTTTAAACCAGTTCCCAACCACGACAATTACAAAAAGGCCATTCGGTCGATTGGAAAAGACCAAAAAAACATCTAAAGCCATCCGTTTTTTCTCCACCTTCAGAGCATCTTGCCTCTTTGATTAAGAAGTTGCAACACTATTCGGTATCTGTCCTTCTTCGAGCTCCACCGGCAGATCTGTCCTTCGATCCTCTACTTGGTCTTCTGAGAGGCTAGATGCCAGAGTTTAGTGGAGGAATGGCGAAAAGGGTGAACACCATTTGTAGAACCWTTTTTAACAGTAGGTTTTGATATTTCATATTTCTTGATACAGCGGCGTCGGCAATGAACACTGCCAAGAAAACGATGAAAAATCACCAAACGTCACCAATGACAAGGAGAAGGAGAGGAAGAGGAGGAAGAAGAAGAGGGAAGAGAGATAGAGTGAGAGAGAGTGACCATTGATTTGCTCCCCCAAACGGTGTGATTAGTAAACGGAGACGGAGCAGCAATCTGTTTCTTGTCTTCCTGAAATTTGAGTTTTATTTTAAAAATATGAATAATAATAAAGGACAAATTTAACATTTCATTTTTTTCATTAACACTCAAGAACGATGTCAATTATCATAAATAATAGGGGTGGTATAAGATAATAATTAAATAGTAAGGATGTAATTAGTTAATTAGTTAAATATAGGGATAGTTTAAGAAACTTACCCCTTTTTTTGGTAAAAAAAGATCAGAATTCATTATATTAATTTGAAACATGATTACTATCAGCGTTCACCCAGCTTGACAACCAAAGATCCAAACATCAGAATCGTATAAACCTCTCGAGGCTAGCTTATGGGCCAACCTATTCCCCTCCCTTTTAACAAAAGAAAAGTTAATGTTGGTGTTCTCACAGGATAAGTCCCTACTTGAGAGAGTCTGGATTATAGATCTGTTATCATTTTCCACAATAGAAGGTAGGGGTGCTCACGGTTTGGGTAACTGAACCGTGGGCATTTTTTATGAACAGAACCGATAGTATTGGTTTTTAGAAAATCGGTAACTAGAACCTAACCGAAACCAGTTGGTTAATTGGTTGATCGGTTCGGTTAACTAACAGTTCGGTTCGTCGGTTTTTCAGTTTTTTTGATTTTATAATATTTATTATAAAAATATATAGATATAAATATATATATAATATTATATTTTAAATAATATATAATATATTAAAAAATATTTTTATATATAATGTGTATTTATTAATTTATAATATATAAAATTTATATATAATTTACATAAATATATAAAAAAACATGTATACCAATCGGTTCGGCTAATCGCCAATTTTTTAAATTGGTTAACCGAAACCAAACCGGTACCTTCAGTTTTTTAAAAACACTGAATCGAAACCAAACCAACCGGTTCGGTTAACCGACTTTTCGATTCGACTTTGATCGATTTTTTTGGTCGATTCAGTTTTTCGGGTTTTTTTTTTTTTTGCTCACCCCTAATAGAAGGTCYAGAAAACAGGCGTTTTGTTAATTGAATTCTCCGAAGGCAGGCTGTCGCCATAGCTTGCAACACAGAGGAAGCTAAACAAGGTCCAAAAAGCACATTAATCGGGAAATAAAATAATGGATTGTTTAGGTTTTCCTTTTTTATTGTTTTTATTTTTAATTATTTTGACAAAGATAATAAAATAATAGATAATTTTTGTCTAACGGAACAATGAGTGAGCACATAATAGTTGTGTGGCACATTTCCCGGTTAATGTACCTTTCATCCAAACRTTTTTGTTCCATTAGACAGAAATTATCCATTATTTTATTATCTTTGTCAAAATAATTAAAAATAAAAAACAATGAAAAAAGAAATGTAAATGAGTCCCAACTCCCAACACGTTTAGGTTTTTCTTTTTTATTGTTTTTATTTTTAATTATTTAATGGATAATTTCTGTCTAACGGAATAAGAACGTTTGAATAAAAGACACATTAACCAGGAAATGTGCCACACAGCTATTATGTACTCACTCATTATGCTTACCTAACATGCCTACTACATCCGGACCCCTCTGCTACTACTCCAACAGTTGCTAATCCCTTTTTAATRAATCTTCCATCAACATTAATTTTCGGCACATTTGCATTGGGARGCTGCAAAAAATACTTGGTGATCACTATCAGAAACTGGAGAAGAATCTCGCCATTTTCTCCGCAAGATCCTATTCCTCTCCTTTCAAGCCCTATTCAAACATAGCAAGGTTTACTTTCAAGCCCTATTCACATCTTAAAAAACACAGCGGTTTCTGCTTTTCCAGATGGTCCATAGTAAAAATAGCAGAGTAATTTATAAGCTCAACGTTTCTATCCTAAATTCGGTTACATCTGTCAATCCATAAAGCAAACCAGGCAGCAAAAAAATTTGGAATCAAATCAGGTCCAAAGTCCAAACAAACTTGCTTAGCATGATCACATTGAAAAAGGGCATGCATTATTTATTCAGGTTCCTTGTCACAAGCGGGAGAAAGGTTTGAGGATATCAGCTTTCTTTTGATGAGATTTCTTTTACCGCAATAGATTTTTTTTTTTTGCTTTATGGGGCTACACAACAGGGTAAGCCCATCCCCTTGGCATCGGCATTTGATCGCAGGTCTCTACTCCAACGAGTCAGAGAACCTACCAATTGAGCCACCATCAGTTGGCTTTTTACTGCAACAGATAAACTGCTTAATTTTTGGGTCAGTCTTCAGAACATTCGTGTCCTCCGTCACAAACGGGAAAAAGGGCATGCATTACTCATTCGTGTGTTCCGTCCGCTCCGCCCATGAACAGAGAGATGTTTGGGTATTTTGGGCTCGGCCCAATATCTTTTGGCGATTTTGTTTCCAAGGGCCTCGTTGATGTTATTCATGCTTCCATCCATCCAGGTTACTGCAGGAACACCGATCAAATAAAATTTCACATGATGCTTGGTCGAGGTCAATGGCTTCTCTTCCATCTTTGTTCTTTCCTTTCACATAACTATGTTTCTTGTAACACGTGTGAAAACTAAAAACTGCTGGATGTTTAATTGGTCTATAGTAGGCAATGCTACATTGCATTCCAGCCTCCCATTGCAATTAGCTATTCCATAATTGGTCTAAAGGAAGAGCAATGCTACATTGCAATTAGCTATTCCATTCCAGCCTCCCATTGGAATGTAAAACTCATCCCAACCGGGCCAAAAAAAAAACCAACAATTCCAAATGTAGACCAAACAGACCCTAAAATGAAACCTTGAAAACATTAATACTGATCTCTACCTTGTTGGAGGGAAAAAAATCTATTATAAATAGAATATAGAAGAGACTGGTGTTAAAGAGATGCCATGTTACTACATTAATTGGTTCTGGCTGAGCTTAATTGCTTAAATAACCCAACCCCATATTTAATCAACGGGAGCAATTGTGCAGATCCAGATCACCAATGAACAGAAAACTCGGATTCGCTCCCCACRTAGCACATTGCATCCATGGGCAGAGAACTCGGATCCGTGCTTTGGGAACATCTCCACAATGCACGGCTGCAATGTGCTAGCTATGTGATTTGTGCGGGGAGCAGATCCGAATTCGGATAGAGATGGTTGCAATAGAAATGTCTATTGGTGGCATCGAGGCCTAAAAAACATAGCAGCAGGCTCTCCACAATGTACAAGTCATTGGCTCCACGTGCATTCCTAAATTGCAATGAAACCTAGAGAGAGGGAGAGAGTCTAAAGTTCCAACGATGATTAAATACAAGGAAGATTACCAAAATGATCTTATAATATAACATTTTCAATAGAAACATGAATTTCGAGATATAACATTAGACCAAAATTCTGAAAAGAACAAAAAAAAGAAAAAAAAAAGAAAAAAGAAGACGCGATTAATACAGACATCATTTCCGCATTAGCAGAAGATGGAATTTACAAGGAAAGAAACCGTTGGACGAGACCAACAAAAGTATAATAAATAAATAAATGAATAGCATCGGACCAAACAAAGACGGCCTCACGAGGTAGGCTCCTCTCTGAGCTTTTGATTTATTTCTTATAAGAGTTCAAAAACATACGGGCATTATACGCATATCAACGAGCTGGCTGTCCTATTCCTTCATATATGTTTTTTTTCTTTATAGTTTACTCAATTTCTTCCATCTCACCAGGGACTTGAGAAATTCCATGACCTGTGCAATATCAATAGTTGATGATTAATTAATCAGAAAGAAGGTAAAGGCAAACACAAAGGGGAGGGTGCCAAAGACCTTTATTAAGAGAAAGTCAGATTTCGTGTACCTCTGATGGATCCCTCAGAGAGTAGAATGCACTGCTATCTTTTGGCACTGAAGATACTAAAATTCCAAAACCGCGATTACCCTCACGAAGGACCTGCAAATATCAGTAATAAACTAATTAAATTGCTTACCCATCAAAAGAACACTTGATTTATCTTCAGTCATGGTTTATCTCGTTTTACCTTAAATGCATCTTCATCTGTACGGTCGTCTCCAACATATATTGGGACAACATCAGCAGAATCACCTAGTCCTGCACCATTTTTTCATACAAAAAAGTGAGGTCAGAAAATGAACAGCGACAATGTAGATGATAGTGGACTAATGGTTATGATGATGACATAAAGAGAAGCAGAATTACCGAGTGACTCAAGAAGAAACTCAACGGCTTTCCCTTTATCCCAGTCAATCACAGGACGGACCTCTAAAACCTACACATAGGGGAACATAAAGCGCATAATGAGAAATACTATCAAACTCAGGATCTACTTCACAACACTGAAGACGGGGATGATTCTTCAAATGAGAAACAAAAAAAAAAATCGACTCATTTAAAAACTCAGTCCAGTGAAGTACCTTCCGCCCATGAGTTAATCGTAGACGTGGGTAATTTTTCAGCACACCATGAACACATTGTGCAACTATAGGCCAATTCTAGAAGAATATCAAAAGCAGCAAAAAGAAATAGTGAGGATAACCATTGTTGCAAGTAACCCAATAAGAAAAGCAGATTATATGCTCAAACTTGAGATTACCTTTTCATCTACATTACGGTAATGTACAGAGGTACAAAACTTGTGATTCTCAACTTTTGCACCTTTAATTCCTTTTGTATTCTCGACAAGGGTTCTAAAAACCTGCAAAAGCATAACAGCATTATTAACTCAGCCAATTTCAAAAAAAAATGGAGATTTATTGCTTTACATTACATATTACATATTACTTCAAGAAAAATAGTTACAAACCTCATCAATCATAGGTAAAAACTCACTAGCAGGTTGGAACAGATTTACCTCCTTACCCTACATTCAAAAGAAACATAAGAGAAAAGCATGGTGAGATAAAAGAAGACACCAAACAGACACATTACACAGACTGATTATGAGAAGACACCATACAGTAGTCAGCAAGAAAGGACAACATCCATTCCTACAGTGCAATATCCTCTCACCTGCTTGTCAGTAGACCTAATACAATTTGGATGGTCATCAGCAGACACCGAATGTCTGACCGGGCCCATGATGTCCATCCCATGACTACCAGCATAGTAGAGTTCTGTCAATCCTACAAATTCGTATACCTAAATGGAAGAAAAAAAAGGTACAGAGAAATGGGTTATCAACTGAAAGCAGAATTTTTTCATCTGAAAACCAGACAAAATGCAGATATTATCTCTAGTAAATATAGGACGAGAGACATACCATATCACGCCTCCTTCCACTAATTATTGCTGTTGGGAAATATTTGGCAACATTTCTCACAGCAGAACGCATCTGATAAGAAATGAATTTCAATAAGAAAACAATTTTAAAGATGATTTCTTCTACCTGAAATGCTTTAAAGTCAATTAGCTAAGCTCTTACAGCGTTAGACATAAAAGCACGGTCAGGGTCATCTACAATTGGTGAAAGGGTCCCATCATAGTCCAGAAACAATGCTATCCTCTTGTCCATTGCATAATTTGTGATTTCATCAAAAGATGTAAGTGCTGATGGATACTTCAGCTGCACAATTAAGTAAAAGAAAGAGTTGGCTTTTAAAACTCAGACTTGAGGAATTTTCAATAGAAAGGAAACAAGAAGATCAAAGAACAAACAAAGGAAAGAAGGTAACATACCATCCAGGAGCGGTAAGAAGCGTCAGTATCATCAGATGCAACCTCAATGTTGAAATCCTTAGTTGGCTTCTTGCGAGGAGGTGAGGAGGCTTCCATGGCATCCAGCCAACTGCTGATGCGGACATCATCAAGCTTTCCTGGCATGGGCTTCTTTCTTGGAATTGTTAAGAACAAACCTCCTGGTGGGGAGTATGGCAACAGATTTGTATGGATGCCTAATCTTGACTTGCTTATGGGTATGGGGTCAGTGAGAACAGGAGCTGCATGGTTTGATTTCAAATCCATTGGATCCAGATCACTTTAAAAGCGTTTAAAGCTTAAACAAATATTGTGTGATATGTAAGAGCTGGCAGGTCCAAAATTCACGTCAAGTCAAAATGATGTCACTGCAATCTCTAGTATCTTCACCCAACTCTCTTATCAATGAAAAACCACCTCTTCAAAGTTTTCTTATCACTGCTGTTATGCGAGCAGTCCATCAAGCGCAAACTTCCCAAAAACTGGAAATAACAGGAATGTGTTACATAAAAACTAAAGCGGACACACAAGGAAAATCCTCAAACGGAACTTGGATGAAATATAAAACCATACCTTCTCATCTCCAAAACTACAAATCATTTATATCAGATAACATTATGTGCAGAGTTAAACTTGAGGGAGTGCTGCTTTATAGATCTATAATCCCCAGAAGAGTTCTGAAGTCTGCACAAAAAGGAKGCAAATAATTATACGGACCAGAATATAAGAGCTCAAATACAAAGCATGATTTAGGCAAAAGATGGTTAAAACAAACCTACCAAGCAGTACGAGTATTGTAACCTTTTTTATTTTCATTGAATTTTTTCCTCCCAAGTTAGTTCAATAACAGAGGTATTGGCTTTCCAACAAGCAAGCAATGAATAATAACCAAGCTTTTTTTGAAAACTGGTAATGTAAATAATGAATTTGGTACATACTAATAATCTTTTCTTCAAAAAAACTATTAATAATCTAAAAACTATTGAAGAGTTTAATTCCCTGGAGCATAATAAAAAGAAAATGCGCTCCTGAGAACTTCCTAATACTTTTAGATATCTCCTAGGCTCCCCTTCCTTTAAAGTTCATTCTGCGCTGTTATTTAAACTTGTGGCATAGACATTTTAGAAAATACAATAATGGATAAGATTCTTTTCTATTTCACTATAAAAATCAACAAATAAAATAACTGAGAAAATAAGAAGAAAGATGAAAATAAGTCTACTACAGACACATGATAATTTGATTATGTAGTGGAAGAACAATGATCTATTTTTTCACAATAACCAGATGATTAGATCCAATATGTACCAGAATCTGTACAAATCCTTTTGGACCCTTTATACCCTATCTGTGGCTGATTCTATTTGCTTTGCATCTCTGTCCATGATTTCTTCTGGCACTCTGAACAACTAAAACCTTATTCAATGAACAATATATAAAATACCGCAGATKAATGCTGTTTGCCTTATTAAATGGAATCGGCTTTGCCAATGAACAATTCGGAGATGGAAAGAGGGGTAAAAGATAACAAGCACCAAGTAATTTTGGTGCGAGACCATGCACATCAAGTATCAAACATGGGGCTTGCCCCTGATTTTGGCAATCACCACAAATACCAAAAAATGAAAGAGAAGAGGAAAAGGGGGAAAATTCCAACACCATAAAGAAAAAAAAGAGTCAATAAGTAATAGTTTTAGAAGTATTTCCCTGGAAGTTGCTTCTATGAAGAATACAGATGCACCGTACTCTGCATCAGGACAGGACAGGACAGCATGAACAACTATTTTTGTTATCACTATTAATATTAAGGTGTACAAAATATCAACTAGCTTCACTGCGAGTGGATGGTGTAATGAAGAAGCAGTGATAATGTAGAAAGCTCTACGATAAAACATTAGTGAAAGTACAGGAAAAAAAGAAAAAAAAAGGCAGGCACCCATCTTTACATCTCATTCATCAACAAAGGACGGATGAAGAACACCGAGTGAAAAGAAAAGGAAAAAAATAAAGAAATAAAAGTTCGTGGTTAATTTAAAATGATACTCAACATCGAAGGCTGGCCCACCCAATTTGATGTTTTATGGAGATGGACGAATTGAATTAAGTAATATGTTAGAGATGTACATAACTGAATATTCAAAGTTGCCCTACCGCACGTAGTGGGTGGAAATTAAAACAAACACCAAAATTTTTTGAGCCTCCGTAGCAACAGCATGGAAGCCATTAAACGTTTGGATCTGGCGCACAGACAGAGAAGCCAGCTGACCAAGAAAAAAAGTAAAGAAGCAACCCAACAAAAATAATATAATAATGTTATGATAAAATCATGAATTAGTGTTTTAGAATACCATTTTGTTCATCGCAAGATCCAAAATAACTACCCCGAAAAGAAACATAGCTTTTCAAGAAGTCAGTGCCTTTGGCAATAACCAGAACTTTTATGAACTTTCCAGTTGCGATTCTTCCAAGGAATGCAAACGTGGCGGTATGGGTAACCCTTGCAAATTCACCCTCCCCACTAAAGGAATCTGTGACTTTTTTCAGTTCTGTTAGACCGGAAGATATTGATAAAGACAACGGGATGCATACGTTATTTTCTTCTTGCAGTTTACAGCAATCGACAAAACATTTACACCAAAAGAAATCAAAGAAGAAAACAAAGACGGTACACATCAGTTGTAAACCAAATACAGTTACAGTATAAAGAAGAAATGATACGGTTAATGTCGGCAGATTTTCTCCACAAAAGGAAAAGCGACAACCACAACCTACACCACTAATTTCATTTACCCACAAAAAGTTACTCGACATCACCTGACGACAACCAAGGTCTTATTCTCCCCATCTCACTCGGGTTAAAACAAAATCGAGATCAAACTCAAAATCGTCATGTCACCAACTCGCAAAAGACAAATCGAAACTGTAGAATCCTGAATTTATACAACAAAAGCTTTTTATGCTCATCAGCTAAGCTCCTCGGGAAGAAGCCCTAGCGTTCGAGCGACGACGCACGACCCTTGCCTTGACACAAATAGATAAAGATCGATAACAGAATAGGAGAAAATAATATCAAAAACCAAATCTAACAACAACAAACGTCAATCCGCGAAGCACAATCGGAAGAAAATCCAAGGCCTCCTTCGCGGAGGCGTTTCGAATCAAAGCAATGATTTTTCTCAGATTAAATCGATCAGCATTACGTACAACCCTAGAAATGCTTCACAATAGTAAAAAAATCGGGAGAAGACGATACTAGCGTACCTGAACCACGAGCTCTCACACCGTAAGGGTCCTTTCAAGGATCAGAACCGCGAGAAGATTCAATCTTCGAAATGCAGTTACGTGATCAAAAGTCTCAGATCCCGACCACCAACAGTAACCGTGAAATCGTTTTCAGAAAGCATAAACAAGGGCTAAGGCGAGGATGAACAATGAAAGCTATGAGAAGGAAGAAAGAAGAATATAGATGGAAGAAACAAAGAGAGAACCGCGTTTAAAGCTACGACAATTGCATAGACACACCTAGAAACCCATAGAGAGACAAAGGGAAACGAACGACGAACGTCATATATGCGCGAAGAGAAAACGAGGGAAGGAAGGGAAGCTACAGAGGCGTTTAGGCATTTATAGAGTTTTCGTCCGCCGAGGAGACGTGCTAAACAAGGCAACTCGGTTGTTGAATCGGGAAACACCACGAGAAATTTACAAAATCTTATTTAATRATAAAATAGTAAGAGAACTAATTAAAATAAAGATTTTCTTACTATTTTCCTTTAAAAATAAAAATGAAAAAAACTGCCAGACATGTTTCGGTCGTATTCTCTCCCTCTACCTTCAATCGGATCCACCAAGAGACTTATGAAAAATCTACACGTGTGAGCTATGACTTACGGCCCACGCGGCTGAAGACACCTGTGGTAGTATCAAGCATGACGTGGCCACGTGTCAGAGCGGGCCCGCCACGTAAGGGCGGGGTCATTTGCCGGAAGCGTCGCTTTCCATAACAGCTGGTGGTAGTTGGTACATGAAGGTTTTAAATTGTTGAATAATAGCCGCAGAGATGGATCCACGTGGCACATGTGTGGGATCGAGGTGACGTGTGGAAATCGGGCCCGGGGAAGGCGAAAAGCGGTCTTGTTTTTCTTCGCGGTCTAAGGTCGCCCCTTGATTCTCGTGTACGATTCAAGTGGTCCCAGTCCGAACTGGCAACTCGGCTTTACTCGGTCAAACAGACCTTCACGAATCAGAGAGTTGAAACGATAAAACCTAAAAAAGTAAAAATGAAAAGGAAGGTGACGTTTCCCTGTCCAAAGGTCGACACGTAGTGGCCTACTCGAGTCGGTGGGGCCCGAATACGGTTGGTTGTTTCTGGTAGTAACGAGTAACGACGGATCTCCTTTGGAGCGGTCGGTCATGCGACTTTGGCCCGGTCTCTGTCCTTGTGAGAGCCATTGGTTTTTTTTTTTTGGGTAAATAAGCTATTATAGTATTATTATTTATCAGATTTGGCCATTTTAGATCCTGAAAAATCTGGGTCAAACGGTTTTCCTTCGAATTGATCTCCATGAAAAGGGGAAGGAAAGGAAAGGATCACTGGCTTGTCCTGAATTCTGATGTGATGATCTCGGATTCGGATCTCCTACTGACTACTGAATGCTGTGCACTTCAATTAGCAATGGACAGTTGTTCATCCAGTCAATCCGATGTTTTTAGGACTGTCAACGGATTCCGAACGTTCCATACCCGACATCACATCCCATTTAAAATCTGATTTCGATAAACTTGATAAACTGAAATCATAAGCATGTTAGTAAATCAGGTATTATTTGTTAAAATTGATGGGTGGGTTTAAAATTATATAGGTTTTCTTAAAATTATTATTATTGTTGTATCTAATAAATTAAATATTTTATATTTATACAAATTTATTATAAAAAATAAATATTTTTAAAATTTCTATTTTTTAAACATATTTAATCGGACTCAGATTAAATTTGATTAAATTTGTTATAGTAAATAGATGGAATTCATGATGTATCCGGATCCGATTTAAATTTGACCCGATTACATCAGATAATATGGTTGTCTATAGCGATGTGTATAATATCTTATTTACAGTAAATCTTTACTGGATTATGTCACCATAAGGTTGGAATCTAATGAACACTAAAGGCTGGTCATCCTACAGCCGGGAATATTTATTGCATTTAGGCCACATTTGACAGGATTTATCTCTTTTTTGTTCAAAATATTCCAAGCTTTTTATTATAAAAAAGAGATAAATTCTTAAAAGAAAGAATGCCAAATGCAAACCTTATTTGTTGTTTATACATAAATAGACTAAATAGTTTCTGATTTGCAGATATGATGTCTTGTGCATAGAAATAGAATGTAACCAGCATTTCATGGTAACTTGGTAAGTATATCCGAATTAGTTTCCAACAGGTTTGATAATTGATTGGATATTTATTTTTCCTATTTTGTTAGTATGAAGATATATAGAGATCAGAAGCAAAACAACAATTTTAGAGCATCCTTGATAAACTCTAGGGGAGCCCAATAAGAGTGAACATCAGCGCCCCACATCATATCCCAACATGTATTAAAAACATCTCCTAGTGACAAGTATAGAGATCTTCCCGGTGCATGTTGAGATGTGCATGTGGGGTTTGCCCTGTGGGGCGCTGATGTGATCTCACCCAATAAAGGGTATCTTGACCATCCAAACCTGAAGAAGCTAAAATATGTAGGGGTGCAAATGGATCAGATGCATTTGAAATCCATTCCTATTTTGTGTTTTGGATTGGACCCCTATCTGATTTGAATATTATTTATATATATTTATATATATATATATAGTATTCTTGTAAATTTTTTATATTACTTTTTTTATAAAAAACATATATCTATATGATAAAAATAGTTAAATTTCTTTATTTAAACTAATATATTTTTTCCTTTTAATAATTTATTAATTTTTATTAAAATAAAATTAGATCAGACCGACATCCTGATCAGATTCAAATTCAAATCAGTATTTATGAGATTCGATTAGATCTTTGAATTCAAATTCGGATATACCCTTAATTCAAATCTGATGATACACAATCCGGGCCAAATTTCCCTTCATCAAAATCCAATCTATTTACATCCCTAAAAAAATCAGGCAAGTTCCTAATCATATATATATATATATATAATAAAAAGGCAGGCACATTTGCATCCCTTACGAACTGAAAAGACAGTTTTCACACAACCTGTAAATGTTTTCTAGAGTAGGCCACAGAAGAGGGCAATTAAAAGAGCCAGCAATGAGAGTATTAATAATAGTACTAGAATCACTTTAATCATCACATTTGAATAGACTAGGTCAATCAACAAAGAACAGCATTCACGAATTACATAGCATTGAGCATAAAATGGAGAGGAAAAACTAACAATTTTCTGAATTTCTATTTTACTGTATTTTATTACAGGCAAAATCGCCTTCTAAAAACCATTTTTAAAAAGTGAGTATTAATTACAAAAATATAACATTACTGTTTAGTTTATAAGTCCTTTTCTCAGAAAAAGATTGGTCCTCACATTCAAATATTGCCATATTCCTGTAATTTTCATTTCTCTACAGGTTTGTTTGCAAGTTAAGTGAAATTAAAAAAAAAAAAATAGAAGGAAAAATCTATGATGCAGTAATATGAATATCATTTATAAGAAAATGATTCATTTTTCTTTAACATGACAGAAATTGGTTTAACCAAAAAAGGGCAAATCATTGAATGTGACCAAGAAAACAAACATAAAGCTGGCCTTATGACCCAGTAGTTGAGATTGCCATTTGGCATCCCTCCAATTGGAAGGTACGGGATCAAACTTGTGGAATCACGGTCTCTTCATGGTATGGTCCATGATTTTTAAAAATGAACACAAACCGGTCAGGGGTCCGGTTACCAGTTCGAACAGTTTGACCATTTGAGCCAGCCGTCGAAAGACCGGCCCGTTCTGACAAAAAAAAAAAAAAAAAAAGAAAATGGTCAAAACTGTTCGAATGGTTAACTGGTCAGTTCAGCAGTTTCCCGATTAAAATTAACAGTTTTGGGGAAAAAAAACGGTTTTGAGAAAAAACTGAACCAGTCAAGTGACTGATTTCCGATTTTTCTGATCCAACCGTTCGGTCCGATCCAATTTTAAAAACCATGGTATGGTCAGTGGGCCTTATGTACATTCTACTCTGTCTACCCTCAATTTTCCTATTTTCCTATTTTCCTATAAAAGCAAATAAGAGATAAATAAATAGATAAATAGAGAGAGATCCACCCCTATCCTTTTATCAAAAAGCCTTGACCTCTTTGAAAAGCAAGAACTTTTTACACATGTCATCCAGCCCCATTTTGGGAATCTATCTGCTATCTGTATGTAAAATTCATGGAGAGATGTGTGCAGAACATTTGCTTTGATGAGATCCCATTACCCTTTTAATTCCGAGTTGAGAGGACAAAAAACAATTCCGAGTTGGGAGGACAAAAAAAAAACTGTTCGAACACGATCCAACTATTAAAAGATTGGTTTTAATCACTTTCTGTCCTTTCAGCATCACTTGCCCCATAAAAACAAACAGGTTTTGTTTTATTAAAAAACTTATATCTAACTTCTCTTTTCCTCCCCCTCCCCCCCACCCAAAATAGTGGAACCTGCAAAACCAAGTTCATTGAATGTTTGAAACTTTGAATGACTTCAGCTTAATAGTGGAACCTGCAAAGCCAAGTTCATTGAATGTTTGAATGACTTCACCGTTTGTTTGAAATGAAACATTTGAAATAAGAAAACAAATTACTTTCACCCTGGACCTTTGTGGAACGGTTTTACACTCAGAATCCTTGTTCCAAGATTGTGAGATAAGAAAACAAACGTCTAATAACTTGAAGGTAGAAAACCCTTCAAATGATCGTTATAATTCCTCGTACCAGTGTTTAAAACTTTAAGATTGTGTTTGCTTGCAGTGTAAATGAATTTGCACAGGTGCAAAACTATAATTGTGTAAATAATTTGGGTGCAAGTTTTGATTTTTTTTTTTTTCAAATTTTATCTTATCTTATTTGGTTGTAATAAAAATAAAATAAAATAAGACCCAAGGTAAAATAAAATAAAATAAAACCAAAATTTACATTTTTTCCATTTACACTCCCATATATTTATATAGTGCAAATAAAATTGCATTGCAATCAAAAACAGGCTAAATTGTAAACCATTGGTTTCCATATACAATTTTTCCCAAACCTATTTTTCTTTTGGTAGAATAACATTACTTATTTTTCTTTTGGTAGAATAACATTACTTATTTTTCTTTTGGTTTCAAATTTTCTTTTGGTAGAATATAACATTACTTATTTTTCCCCTACCTAGTTAGTAGCTATGCAGTTATGGATACGATTGAACATGGTTTTCAAAACCAGACCGGACCAGAAAAACCGGGAACCGGTCACATGATTGGTTTCGTTTTCCCCCAAAACCGCTTTTTTCCTCAAAATCGTTGATCTTGGTCAACAAATTGCTGAATCAACCGGTTAACTGGTCAAATGGTTTTGACCATTTTTTATTTTTTAATTTTTTTGTTAA